GTCTTCCGCTTTCTCAAGTCTAATTATTTAGTTTCTTTCAGTCGAACTCGTCTCTCTGTCGTTGAACTTTACAGTCCCTGATTCAATATCTCCCTAGTTTCCTCCCCACATATTGCCACCCTGGTGTGTATGGTGAAAGTTCGCTGCATCTTTTTTCAAATTTTCAGGTTGTATCAGCCGCTGAATGTGGAGTGACGTTGGTGATGAAACCAATAAGGATGACGATGACAATGAACTTGATTGGTAATGACAATAATAGTGAAGATGATGAAAACGGGAGGGATGATAACAATAATGAACTTGACGAAAAGCGAATTTCGATGGGATGCTGCGGTTGAGAAAGCGGAACTAGATATAGTGTGATGACGTGTCGTGGAAAGTGACCATTGGCAGGGGCAACCGCAATGAGTGGCCGTGGATTTGATTCGAAAAACGGGATTTTATTGGTATATGTTCTTTGATTGCCCCACATTGCGCACCCAAATCTGCAAGAGCAACAAGAACCGGTTGTGGATCGAGAACCGGAGACAGGCCTGAGAAGGGGACGAACGAAAAGAGATAAGTACGAGATACCAAATTAGTCGTCGTAGATGCTATAACAGTAATCTGATTAGCAGCGAGCGGGTCGTGAGTCAAATTATCATTTCGCCTCGACCCCTAAGATCAACCTGACATTATTGGAATCTGACTGGCCAAGCTCTTCTGCCCTGAATTGCATGTCGCCAGTTATGTCCATTGTTTTCGTAAGATTTATGAATTCCCCAGTTTTTTTGAATCTGTCACTTTAAAAGGAAAGAAATCCTGAAAATATTTGAATATAAATGTAAGAAAGGCACTCAGACGAATTCTGAAGAAATGGTGCGATGCGTAGAAGCAGTGAATTAATCCGGCAACATGCCGACCAGAATAAATGGCCTGGTACAGCTGCGAACAACATTTAAGTGCTCCAAGGTAACATCGGAACATACCAATAAATGCAAATGTCCCTAACAGGCTTGTGTAAAGTCATACTTAAAAAAAAAGTTTGGTTTTTTTACGCAGAATTTGGAGAAGATTGCAAAAAACACCTGTTCTAGAATTCGGCAAGTGATTTTGCCCCTGTCTTCTTCATAACATTTCATTCCGACGTCCTTCTCGACTTCCTCCGGAAACTGCTGAAGATACGCAAAAGGGCATCAGAAA